CTGGATACACTGTGCTTTTTCAGCATTCAAAGACTGATGGCACCGTGTCAGAGCACTGGCTATGAATTTCAGACTGATCAGGCCTTAACTTTTCATCTTTTCTTATTACCCACAGCTACATCCACTTCTCTCAGGCCTAGGCTGCTCACTAGGGCTGGGTATCATCACTGATTTCCATAATTCATTCGATTCTGGTTCTCAAAGTCCTGATTCGATTCAATTTAGCCTCAGACAGTCAGAAATATTATAATTCTGATCATTTATCAGTACTGATACACATGAGACTTCATCAGAATTGTGAACATCACAGCAGATGCCTTTGTGTGAAAGTAACAGAATAAAACACAGAAAAACATGAAGATTTTCCTGGTCTGGCTTTTTATAGCCAAGCCTAATTTCTGCTGTTCAATACAGCAGAAATTAGGCTTTCTTATCAGAGGTCATTTAAGTGAAAAAAGAAAAAGACAGCGCTGTAAACAACAGTAGACTGGTGGGTAATAAGCGAATGAATAATGCAGAAAACAGAGAACACAGAGCGGACCCGACGCATCAGAATCGCTAAGCTCCGACAGCGTGTCCGTGTTCGGGCCGTCGGGTGAGAAAGCCGAGAAAGAAAGCTGATTCTGATGTGTCGGGTCCGCTCTGTGTTTACGTCTTTGTGTGGAATCAGTTAATGAATTGATATCGCTTTATTCAAGCTACTCACCTCTCTCTTCCACCTGCACTTTCAACTGGACCACGGCCAATCAGAGAGGTCCCGCCCCTGACTATCTCTGATTGGTTTAGTCCACGATAGGGGCATAATGTGTGTCTGTTGTTGACCACACGGAGAGTTGCAGAGATTTCTTTTTTTTTTGTTACCCGAACAGTTGTGCGACCAAATATTTTTTTTAAGTCGCACCACTGAAAAATTTGTTCGCATTTGCGACCAAATTGGTCGCACTCTAGAGCCCTGATAAGCTTCATAAAACAATGACATAGCATCTAGATCCACACTTCCACCCAAAGCAATGATTCAGGGAATTATTTAAGGTCTTTTTTTTTTTTGCCTTGTCTTTCCATTTTCCTACCACTGTATTTAATATATTCTATGCTGCTGTGTACGTACCTTGCTCGTCTCGGGACTCTCTGGATCAAACTGAACTTGTTTAACTGCCAGTTCCCGTCCAGTATCGGCGTCGTAACACAGGAAGACCCGCCCGAAAGCTCCCTGACCTAGAAGCTTCCCCAGCCGCCAGTTGGTTGGCGCTCGCGGGGCTGTGCACAAAGACACATCAGGTTTGCTAAAAACGCAGAAAAACAAACATCTGGAGGACATGTCGTGTTGCGAGGACTCACAGCGGCTGGGTGGACTGACGTCCATGACGGAGAGCGTCGGAGCCACGGCTGGATTGGGGTTTGGCTCAATGTCACTCCCCCTCCGCGGCCTCCTGGCGGGGCCGGGGACCTCCTCCAGGTCAGGCGTGAAGACGCTGCTGCCACTGCTGGTGCTGGGCGACTGCTCGGTTGAGCTGAAGCTGATTGGAGAGCGGAAACCGTGAACTTGCGTCCGCCGAGCCCGAGGGAAAGTCTTCCTTCCTGTTCAGAGGATGAAGGAGAGCGATCATTTTTAAATCCCTGTTTAAAGTCAATTTGCTTTCAGCATCAGTAGGAATAAATAAATGAATTACCCACCATCACTGTAATCCTGAAGGCCAAAAGGAATGCCGTACCGGCGAGGATACGTCCCTCCTTTCCCTGACTTCTCAAACACCGGAATATCGTACTCTGCAGAGGAAGGAGGATACAAAAGATGAAATTTACAGGCCATGGCCTCAAAACAGCTTTCAAAGATGGCAACCTCGACATGAGAATGTTTTGGGCCTTTTAACTGTAATCTGTAAATTGTGAGTGCTCGCTTTCCTTGAAAAATCCCATTTTTACCATTTCTTCCTGCCCTCAACGTGACAAGCAAAGCATGTTGTAGGTGAATGATCATAAGTCTAGTTCTACTTGGCCCAGCAATACGATTTAATACCTGATATATAGTTTAAAGTCTTAACTTTCAACACAAGTAGAAACAGAGATTCAGCAAGACTGCGTCTTGCAGTTACATCATCTTAAAATCAGTCGTGTGATTTGGACATGCTAGTACATCAACTATAGAGGGTTAAAGTTTTGTCTCTTAGTCTGGTTTAAGTTTTAGCCTGTTAAACTCTTCACTGCCTGGTAGATCAGATTGTTGTTGTTTTTATTTTTTAAACCCTTAAACAGTCTAACACCCGTGAACTAGGGCTGGGCTATATCATACCGTTCACGGTAATACCGGTGTAATTTTGGGCAACGATAGGAAAATGAAATATCGTGATAGAATATGGGTAAAACGCGCATGCGCAGTGCCTATGTTTACATACGCACATGGCGGCGACGCAGAATGAGAAGTGCGAAAGTGGATCGTTAAATGAAAATGATGAACCAGAATTGGTTTGTAAAAATGCTGCAACTTCACTGGTGTGGAACTGGTTTAGCTTTCGTCCGTCAGATACACAACAAAGCACTATTTTAGGTAGCGCATGCTAGCGGGCCGTCGCTATTACCGTGTTGTTTGGAAAATACGGCACACTTAAAATCAATCCTTTGATTTTTCTGAAAATCGACAGTGCCCCTTATAATCCCGTGTGCCTTATGTATGAACTCTGGTTGTGTTTACCGACCTCGAAACGATTTTATGTCGTACACGGCGCTCGAAAATCTTTCAAATGTTTCAGTACGACTTTGCTAAGCTACAAAGCCGCACCGCTTGATGGATTGTCGGAGAATTACGGCTATCGCAGGCAGGCGCCTCACGGAGTGATACGTACTGTGCTTCAACATAATATTACCGTGTTGTGTGTGTGTATAACCTCTTTTTAAGTTTTGTGGATATTATACATGGTTATGCTGAGGATATGTCGGCCAATTTACACTGGAAATGCCTTTTGGTTAAACTGTCAGCAAGGAATTTGCACCGTTACATTTTTATATAACTTTAATGCACATAAAAAAACAGCTGCTTGTTTAAGTGACAATACATTGACGGGGTTTTTTGCACTAATAAAGTTGTGGAGTTGTAAAGTATTTTGTCTAGTGTCAATTATATCGTCAGTTATATCGTTATCGCAAATTTTCAAATGTATATCGTGATAAATATTTTTGGTCATATTGCCCTGCTCTACCGTGAACTAAGATCTGCTCTCACCTGGAAAGTCCTGGTGGTTGTCTGGGTAGCTCTGAGCCCTGGGCATCCTGGACTTTGGGTAATCACTGCACAACACAAAGACAACAGCAACAAATCAGAGGGATTTTCTCCACGGCAGTTTTTTGTGGTTTCCTGTTTTATTCTGTGACGCAGACCTGTCCAGTGGGCTGTCTAGGGAGGGACAACTTCCAGAAGCCGAGTTCTCCGGACTGCTCATGGACAATGGATCCAACATCTGAAGTAAAACAAGAGAAATGAGAGAGAGACAAACTCATATCCTCTCAAAACCAATCAAATTGTATCTCACTAGCTAACAGGTGAATTTAATTTGACATAAAATGATGCTAAGAGCAACTTCAGAAAACTCAATAATAAATACATCACATTTAAGCTTTTTACAACCCCCAAAACAGAAAAATAAATCCTTCCCTCATCTCTCCAGACCTGCAGTAGTCACAAGTTATGCCACTTACACTGAATCACGTGACACTTTAACGAAGGCTGTTTGTGACGTAACAAAAACTGCACATGCCTGCGAAGGAGCCTGCTGACCTCCACTATTCACGCCTGTACGACCTCACCTACAAGTGTGCAAAACACGTCTATGTACCCAGACACTCAATGTGCTATGAAAAGAACCCAGATACGCATCCACCATCTTCCCTGCTGTGTGCGCCCAGGTCCATTTGGGAGTATATCAGGGACTTAACCTGTCCTCCACAGTGGCAGGTACACCACAGAACTCAGTAGTCACAGCAGGAAGAAGAGGAAGAAAAGATCAACTTTAATAAAATACTCAAAGGCCAGAAGGTTCTGCTTTAATGGCTACTGTAAAGTCCAGCATGGCAACTTTAAAAAGAACTCTTTAAATATCGGCTTTATGATAAAGAAGCTGGTGAAAATTAATTTTACATTTAAAATGTCCTAGAGTTTACACTTAAATACTAGATTTGCGCTCCGCTTTGTTACATCAGAGCAGCTCCTTTTCAAGTAGCAAACACTAAAGTGGACTCTCCTGAGCATCAGTACCTGGTCCATGCTCTCAGGGATGAACTCCCCCTCGCTGTTGATGCTGGTGAAGGAGCCGTTCCTCGCCACCTGCTGCAGAGCGTCGGGAATGTATCCTGGAGGAGGAGAGCTGCGGTCCGTTGAGTGGGAACCTGACAGGACGGCGGTTATAGAGAGTGAGAAAATTGTCCTGTGTGCGCCACAGTCACAGCTAAACCATGTGATGCTTATTTTCGCACAAAAGAGTCTGAGTTTCATGCATTCATGTATTTTTCTTAACACTGGAACCACCGAGACAGTCAATTTAAAATTTCCACACACACACGCGCGCGCTCCTGACCCTTACCCACTACCAGGCTGTGGTGGGCACTAGTGCCCGTCCCTGCAAGCTTTGAGTCTGCATCACTGTTTAGCAAACATTTACCTATCAACGCCAGCATGCTCTTCTTGTCTGTGACCCGGAACCCCGTGTTGTCCAGTTCCTCGTGGGACGGCAGAAGGTCCATGTTGGATGACGAGTTCTGCAGACACAGAACAAACTAAACATTAAAAAGAAACTCTGGACAAGTTTAACATCTCCTTTGTTTTCCAGCTAACCCTTCTATGTTAACACTGCTATAACATAAAGATTAAAAATACCAACGTTGGTATAAAAAAAACAAAAAACAAAACACCCCAATCAGCCTTTTACAGCTGAGAGGTAAAAACTGTCGAGGGGTTACAGAACAGAAAAAGCAGCAGGTGTGTCAGCCGCCACACAACGTACATACTGTGCACAAGTATCAGAAACTACCATTAAAGTCATTGCAGCATGGCCCACCTCAGAGGAGACCTGCAGCACAAGGAGAATCTTCAGACTCTTCATGTGAACACTGCGATCCAGCAGCTCTACAGCTTTGTCCAGGTCGTCCTGAGTGGTCAATGGAATCACCAACTGCAAGAGGGGGGGAAGAGAAAAAAAAAAAAGAAATACAGTGACTTGAATAACCTTTTAAAAATTGGGTGATTCTTTTTGATCATTTGTGGAAGTGCACACAACAACAAAAACATAATCCACACACAGGTGCTTCATTGATCCAATCAGCTGTTCACAGCACTTCCTACACTTCAGTGTCTGTCATGCTGTACATTCACGGGGTTTCATGGATTCCACTAGATGCAACAGGAAGTGACATCATTTTCTCAGGAACACAGCTCCACTGGTGGTATTAGAAAATGATGTTTCACTTTGTGCCTTTCTGTATAAGTTCCTGAGACACATAAAACTGTGACTGCACCATTTCAAACACTTCATGATTTTCAATTCAATTGTGGTTCATCATTTATCTATTATGTATAGGAAGAAAAAGCTAAAGTATGCAAACCTGTAGAGCTAAGCTCTGGTGGGCCTGTTCTATGGTAGATAAAACAGAGTTACAGGTTGCTGTCATGCACAGCTCTGCAGCTAACACTGCGTACACAGTGTCATGTTAGTTTGCAGAGTGTGTCCAACCTTGTGGAGCAGCTGCAGCAGGTTAACATCCACACGCCTGTGCAGGATGTGGTCACACGCTCACACCTTCACTCAGTTACTTCTGTTTTTTTTCCTAATGCAGCTTTCGTACAATCGTTCATTTTCTACATCAAAGGCTGGCAGGATGGCACTGGTAGCACAACTGTGGTCTGCTTTCTTGAAACAGGCCGCAGACCACGGTCCCACTCGCCCCTGCCAACAGTCATCTTAGAGCCAACTGGTAGCTGGTGGTGTACATTACTAAAATATTCATTTAACCTACTAGTACTTCTGTTGCAGACCAGCGAGGCAGCAACTAAACATCTAGCTGATGAATCACAATGATGCAGATCCACCACCAGACCCAGAGGTGGATTTTTGCGCCAAAATGACCAAAAAAAGCAGCAGAAAAAAGTTGTGTCAGTCTGCAAAGAGCGAGACACACTGCTGCTGAAACACACTGGGTGTTCTTAAAAACTGCACAGAGGGAAGAACAACATCAGAGGGGCACCGAGGGCAGTTGAAAGGACAGGTTTAGGATGACAGGAGGGGGATCATAGCACAGCTACAGATTCTCCACATGAAAGGGATCTAGTCTGTGTGGTTTGTGAAACTGACCGAATCTGAGGTGACGTGCTTTACATCGAAACAGGAGACGCTGCAGAGATTTTGTCTCTTGGCTCAGAACACCTCAGCCCCCCCACCCCCACCCATGCATCCATGACTGTGTGTGAATGTTAGATAGGAAGCACTTCAGCATAGGGCTGCTCAATTAATCGAATTTTAATCACGATTATGATCTGGGCTTTCAACGATCATTAAAAATGACTGAGCCCATTATTAGCCCCTCCCTCGTGCTTTACTCTCGCGCTGCTCCGTGTGGCAAATCGAACGCACCTCTCTGCATTTCGAACGTGTGTCACAACAATTAAGAGCAGCGGTCTCCAACCTTTTTTGCGCCACGGACCGGTTTATGCCCGACAATATTTTCAACTCTCGCGGCCCGGTACCAAACGACTCACGGACCGGTACCGGTCCGAGGCCTGGGGGTTGGGGACCACTGATTAAGAGGACCCGAGGGAAGCTCGGAAAGCTAAGCAGAAGTTATTTGGAGAGGAGAGTGACTGCCGTTGGTTGAAAAGAGGGGTAAAAAAAACTTCAGTGGTGTGGAAACATTATGGGTTGGCGGAGTCAGACGTGGATCAAGTAGACATAGTGTGTAAACTTTGCTACAGTGTCGTAGCTGCACCACAGAGCAACACTGCAAAGTTCACTAAACATAGATGTTTACATTTCTTTTTTATATTGCAAACATTTGCACTGTTATCAGTATTTGCACACTATTTTATATTATTTTTTGACAATCTTTAAAGTCATTATTCAATACATTGTTATTGTTAAATAAATATCGTCAAATAATCGAGATCTCAATTTCAGTGAAAATAATCGTGATTAGCATTTTTGCCATAATCGAGCAGCCCTACTTCAGCATAGAAAAAAGTCCCTGTATGAGTGTGTGTGAATGGATGACTGAGGCATGTTGTAAAGTGCTTTCTACTCAGGTAGAGTAGAAAGGTGCTATATAAGAACCAGTCCATTTACTACAGGAAGCAGAGGAAAATTACATTTCAAGTTTCGTACCTCGTTGTTTGTGTAGTGGAGGTCCATCGTCTGACCAAAAGCCACTTTAGCTTTGGACCTCAGATCCTCCAGCTTGATAGGTCGAGGGAACTGCAGAATCCTGCAAAGAAGAAGACAGGTGAGAGGTCAGAGACGGGCACTGCTGCTGGTCTGCACTGACAGCACTGGAGGGAGAAACACAGCAGTGGAAACCTCACCTCTTCTCCCCTTTGAACTCAAACTTCACTCTCACATCGTTCTGTTGGAGACAGAGCACAGAGTTAAAGACAGCCAGAGCAAAGATGAGCCAGACTGAGCCTTCGTGCTTTCACTTGGGTTACCTGGTTCTTGGGCGACGAGGCTTTGGGTTTGCACAGGTCTGACAGGAACGCGGCAGGACGGCTGGAGCGGTGCAGTTCGGCCAAGTCCTGCATGATGGAGTTCAGCGCCTCCTGCTCATCTGTGAGACAGCATGACTTCTGCTTATTCAACAGGTTTTATCATTGAAAAACTCAACTTGCTAAAGACTCCTCTAACAACCTGTCTTGCGGTATGAACATATGAACACAAAAAATGAAGTTGCCTTGCTGCATTTATCTCTTCAGATAAGCTGCACAACACAAGGGACTTATTGTCAGGCAAAGATGTCAAAGAGCCATTGTTCGGGGAGGAAAAAAAATTCCTCAAATTATAGGTCTGTCAAAAGATGAAGCTGACTCGCTGCCAAGCAGTAACACCATCTCACAGCATGTACGTACCCATCTTAATGGCACGGCGATTGACCCAGGAGGCCAGGAAAGAGGATTCTCCCATCAAAGGGATTCCTTTCTCCTGAAACACAAAAACATCATCATAAATCCTTACATGCAATTAAAAGAGATCATTAAACATAATGTGCGAATAAAAACAATCTGTTAAACTGAAATTGTCTCATATATACACATTTACATTTAATTTGTGATGTATACTGTACATTTTTCTTCTATTGTTTTTGTGCAGTATTATTGTTATAACATTGTGCTGCATCTATTCATTTTTGTTCTGGCCATTCTGCTGTTGTAATAATGCAAATTTGTAGTAACTCGTCTTTATTTATTTTTTTATGTCAAAACGAGCATCTTGAGGCTTTATACATATTTTAAGAGTGTGATGTCTACATGATAGTTCTATTGTTGTATTTCCCGAAGCACCAATCCAGCATTTGGATCAGATATAAGTCATCTATGCTGTTCTATGTCTACTATGTTACGTATTAGCAGCAGTTGCTCCAACATAGCCTGGAGGACACCAGCAGCAATGAGGGTCAGGGGTTTGGGCCTGAGCACTGCTACACCAGCAGCTTTTCTCTGTACGTTTGCAGACATTTTTGACTTAACTGTGAGCTTCCCCGTCAGCTTCTCACTCTCGGTATGTGTATGGTGTAAAACTTGTTAGGAAGCATTTATTGCATTTTTATGGTAACATAATGTGGCGTCATCAATATTTCTTCACTTCACACCCCACACGACGTGCATGTGTGAGTCAGGAGCACTCACAGAGAGCTGAAAGGCGAATAGTGCCAATAAACTAGGTGAGGAATTCAGACACATTAGATTCATTTTACTTGTGCTGGACAATCATCTGTCTTTTTCACTAATAAACTTCAATAAGTTTATATTCTTGGATGTATTCATCACGTTTCTTAAAATAAGTAAAATAATTTTTGAGTCAAGCATGATGTTTTGATCATCATCCAAAAAAAAAAAAAAAAGAAGATTCACAGTATCTTCCTTCCAGTGAGGAGCACATACGATTAAATTAACACTGAAACCCAAACCCGGTACTTGGTATCAATATACAGTGCTGTGCAAAAGTCTTGAGTCACCCCTTGTTTCTTTACATTTTGCTTCCAAGAAGCCACACCGTCATTTTTAAAAGTGGCCTTGAGTAAAGAACCGATTTGTTAATAGGAGCCTGTCACAAAACATTTGTTTTTGTATTTCAGCCGGTGGTGTCGGAGATTAAGATCAATGAATAATGAACTCAGAAAAGTACCATGTAATCCACCATGCAATACCATCTGGAAGACATCTAATTACCAACGCCTTATTTTTTTCAGCATGACAATAATCCCAAACACACTGCCAATGCAATTAAAAACAATTATTCTTTTTGTGCTGATTATTCTGCAGACTACAGACTTAAACCATAAGAATATCGAGCTCAACTGTGAGGTTGCTGAAGTAAAACTCCCACAAGTATTCTGAATATCAGCCATAATGTAAACACCTTAAGCAGGCTTACTAAATACTATTTACATATAACCCTGGTTTAACAAAAACCCGTTTTACTTATGACACTGCTTACAAGAACTACTCTACCCACAATCCTGAACCGAAACAGCAATGCCTCCAATTGGTGGAGGTCGCTGTTGCTGTTGAAATTCTGTAAATGTAGGAACATCAGCACAAAACTTCTGAAAACAAGAGAGCAATGATTGCAGCGAGGCAACACTACAACAATGCAAAGGATTACATTGAAGGAGGCTGGAAGTCATTCACTGTGAAATCTAGGATTTGCAGTGCATTATGGGGATGAGCAGTTCCTGTACACAGCCTCGTACCTTTGCCTTCTTTTTTTTTTTTTTTTAATCCAAATCAAATCTTTTTAATAGCCATGATTCACCTCGTAGCTGGTTGGTTTGGTCTGAGGATTAAAACTCTTTATATAAGGATTTTTTGAAACATCAATGGAGAGAATGAACAAGGAACTCACTTCTGGAATGGGAGCCCTTAAATTGCTGCATTCCCTAGCAAAGATAAATAGTATATTTGTGATTTTATAACATAAAAAACAGAAAACAGCTGCAACAAAATCTTTAATACAAGTGTAGTGGAGTAAATGCTGACCCTACTTTAAGAGCCCTTTTCTTCACATTTAAACTACCCACACTGATGGATATTTTATTGCCATTTTAATGTGACAATGTTTGTTAATGTGGGTCTATTCAGATGAGTCAGTTTCCAGACCATACCTTTCTACTGATCACTGATTATGTTTAACTGGGCTCCGGATGCCCACACTATAGGAGGTCAAGCATTCAGCTTTTTAATTTGTCACTAAGCTGTATATTATACTATTGCATTGTCATGTATAGTGAAATATGCAATGACTGTAGCTATGAGTGTCCAATAAAGGGGCTTTAAAGGTTGCAGCACAAGCTTGTGTGTGGAATCAAAGTAGTTTATTGCTCAGCTATCAATTAATACTATTGAACATAACCTCCAGAATGTAATCTGTACAAACATATTTAGCTTTCATGTTATTGTTGTTGCAAAAGAGTGGAAATTTAAGTCAAGATGGCCTCTGCTGACGAGGAGTTGATTGGAAATTGGTGATGATAGTCTGTGATCATCACTGATTGATGAGAGAGCTGCAGCATTGGTGCTAGCCTTAGCTTAGCGTTTTTTCTTCTCTCTTTTATCCTTACATACATCATCCTCCTCATGAACATCATCTTCTGTACCGACTCTTGCTCAGTGCTCACAACAAAGTTGATATCAACAGCAAAATTATGGCCTTCTTTGGTAGATAATTAGCTCGCTTTAGATTCTCCTGCTAGCGTTAGCCGAGTAGCAACATAGCAACTGTTGCTAGCACATTTTTAGCAATTACAGCCGTTTTTATGAATAATTATAAGACACTTTTGACACTTACGCCCAAAATACTATTTGTTATCTAAACAGAGAGCCGATATGTGAAGCTAAGCTAGACGTGTGCAACTAGCTGTCAGGCCAGGGAAGTTGTCAAGCTGAGCTAATGCTAACAGCCAGCCGCACAGCTAAACAGCGTTCACCTGCGCTGCACGACTATAAGAAAAACAAACAGCCCTTAAAGGAATAAATAAACCCTTCAAATGGATCCAATACTTCTTTAGTACCATACCTGGGCGCTAATTAGATGTGTAGTCACTTCCTCATCCACAGGGCCGGTGACAGGAGCCCCGGGCCCCGCGGAGAGCCGCTGGAGGAAGCAGAAGTTTGGCAGTCCGCTCCCAACTTCACTCGAGTGCTGCCGGACCACGACGACGACGAGGCCTGACGGCTGTCAAAGGGACCAGCTGAAGCTTTTCGACCACAAGACGACAAAACGGCGGCTCGTCCAACTAAGTAGCTCCTTGTCTGTGCAGTGGTTAAAAGGCTAACTTCATCAGAGGCGCTCTTTTAGCTGTACTTTACACCCTGGTTAACGGTAGCTCCGCTCGCTGCTGACCCCACGACGCCATCAAGCTATCACGTATTAGAAATAATTAAACCGGAAGTAGACACAGAAAATAAAAGAAGATAATTCAAGTAACTATTATGTGTTTTATTTTGATAACGAGTGCCAGGATATTATATTTCATTTACGGAAACTTGAAAGGTGTTGACCCCAACCTTGTCGGAAGAGTCCAATAAAAACACGACCTGTCACGTCAGAGAAACTTATGAGTTTCCTGTCAAAGAATAAATACATTTGATTGGTGTTTAATCACTTTATTGTAGTTTTTTTTATAGGTTTTTATTATAATTTAATATAATTGTTCTACATATTTAGAGATTTAAGAGTGTCTTTTGATTAAATTAATTATTATTAATTATGCAAGCACAAAATTATAGCTACACTCTCTCAGGGGGTGCATAAAATTAAAATATGCACATATATGTATATACATACACACAGTCATGCCTACAAATGCATAAAAAATATATCAACATATGTAGTTTTGAGGGAAGTAAATAATGAGACTCGACATAAAAATTTTGCACATTAGAATTGAACTTGAATGAATTGAGTTATTTACAGCTGGTATATATCTATATACACTTTGTAAGGTAATGGTGGTATTTACTGCTATTATTACAATTAACACCTGAGGCTGACGTGTTGATGAAACTGGACTAAACTGAAAAAGAGTCAATTTAAAGTGATTTCCTTAATATTTTAATTCTGTTTAAGTTAGTTTTGCAAATGCATAATATGATTTGTATTATTTTTTGTTTCTTTCCTATACAGCCCCATGTTGTTTAATTTTTTGAAATACAATTTAACAAAATGTTTAATGTATTATAAAAGTATTTTGTTATATATCCACATCACCAGCATTTAAAAGGCCAATAACTTGATGTCACTATTGGACTGATCAATATGTATTATATTGATCTGTATTTTTAATTAAAAATGTGTATTTTTAATTTTAATTAAAGGCCAAACTCTTTAATCAACTTGTCTGGGCGCTTAAAAATAATGTGACATATATGGGGACAGTTTAGACCAAGCACAAATGGAAATTCTGATATCACTCAGGTGAGACAAAACTGATTTTAAAAACTCAAGCTCCAAATAAGCCAGTGTTTATCTAGTTTATATTCTTATTAGCCAGACAAAATTAATTTGTTAATTTAAAAAAAAAGTCACTATGTCACAATTTAGAATGAAATGAATCAGTGGTTGGGTCAACATTATTATATATTTTATAGCTTTAAAATGATCCTGAAATAACACACAGCGAGTCATTGTGTGTGTGTGTGTGTGTGTGTGTGTGTGTGTGTGTGTGTGTGTGACATCCTGACATTACCAAAATGTAAAAAACAAAAACAGCTGTATGTTTTCTGCAATGTGCCTACAACTAGTATGATATGGAAAAGACCCTTTACAATACATTTCTCCATCTAACAGTTTCTAAATTATATTGTAGTGTCAGTTTTGTTCATGTTGTCTAAGTTTATTATTGCATTTAGACCCAGTGTTATCTAGATTGTGGTTTATGGTTTTGGTCTTTGGATTGTTACACCCAAAGTCAAATACAGAGACTGCAAGCATTCATTCAATAAAAATATAAACATTGTTCTTTAAAAAACATAAAACATCTGTACGCTGTGCAGATGTTTTATTATTTCACCATGTTATTAGTCCGTTTAAAAAAAAAAGGTTTTCTGTGCTATAACAGTACACTGGAAAGGGGTCCATAAAATACACTACCAATAAAGGAATGTTCCATTTAAATGTTTTACAAATATTTTTCCATACTTTTTAAATAAATATTGGGTTTAATTGCTTACTGTGCCCATACACTTGCATTTACTATCAGCAAAGATTTATATCACACTCTAATGGTCAAACATTAGATTATGCATATATTATATCGTAAAGTGGTCTGCCTTGGTGACCAGTCGGGGCAGATGGCCGACCCTCCCTCATTCTGCGTGTGTTGGAAGTTCATTTCCTATTAAAAGGGAGTTCTTCCTCCTCACTGTCACCGAGTGCTTGCTCATAGGGGGCTGTCTGATATTGGGGGTTTCACTCAGTGTTGTAACAATTTGTAGATTTAGAATAATCAAAAGATTTTTGAAACAACACTTTTGGCTGTGCCCAAGGGTGTGCCACAGCCGATAGATGTGCAAAAGTTGTTGCCATGGCACAGAGTTCACACCAGATGCCTTTACTGACACAACCCTCCCATTTTTCCAGGCTTGGGACCAGCACATACCCTGAGTACACTGACTGGAGACTGAGTTTGTGTTTCCACCCTCTCAAATTTTTTAACCACTACACCACGGAGCCACTTGTTGTAAAAATAACCTGTTATGGGGAAATTCACATTTATGAAGTTACATACATTTATATAGTTCTTCGTGTGATATGTTATAATACAGCTGTCCAATATGTGGACCTTTGCTGTCTTTATCTTGGTCAGCCTTCTTGGACAGACAAACCGTAGCCTGGCCTCATAACAACAGGCCACAGTTTCAGGGTCACAAATCTGCGCTACATGTGGCTTTTTTTTTTTACCCATCTCCAATGGCTTCCTCTTCCTTTAAAAACACTATATAAATGTGATCAGTGGATATTTATTTTTGGAACTTTATTCAGCACTAGTGTAAGGAACCCTTCATATTCTATGACTGTAAAAATGTGCAGCTGTTTGCTGAATTCTCAAGCCTTGGGTCTTCTGAGCTAACAATTCTAACTAAGTATGTGGACAAATTTGGCTTCTTTCACTTCCAACAAGGTTAATCTACATCTGTACTTTAGTCAAAATTACATCAAAACTGGCAATTAAAAAAAAAAATTCGGTTGTAAAAGTAGCTTATGTCAAAAATTTCTGTATTTGTAAAATCACAAGTAGGGCTCAAAGCGGTCGGCAGAGCATATTACTGGTTATTTTGTACCAAAATTATTCAGTTTATTTGGTAATAAAGAAGATAGGAATACGTTTTAATCATTTACACCTATTAGTAACATGGATACAGGGTAATTTATATGTAATAGGCTTTATTATAGGGCTCAAGTGTGTTTTTGTTGTTGTTGTTTTTTTGGGTTTGTTTGTTTTTTACAAACAAAATTGGGTAAAATTTGCTCTTTTGAGAGTAAAGCTTATCGACCCCAACTATATTTTTCAAAATTAAACGATCATGTCTGTGCTTCACTTTGGAGAGACTCTTATTTTTGAAAGAAGCAACCCCATGCGTCAATTCCGGCTGTCGAATAACATCAACCAGGAGCTGCGCCTGTGAGCTAACGCTTCATCTATTGTCAGTGTATTTTCCTGGGCACACACAGAGAAAAAGCATGTCAGATACGGTAAGAAATGCGCTCCGAAGGCTCTGTGTTGTTTTGTCACCAGCAGAAAACGGGAAAAGGCTGCTTGGTGTTTATTTATGCCCGCTGGCTCGTATCGACTTATCTAATATGCTAGCTCTTAGCTCGTGGAGCTTCGGGCCTGAATTCACAGCTTTTTTAGCAGCTAGCAGCTAGCGGCTAGCTCTGGTTTCTTATTTAAAGTGCTGCTGTGGAGCAACGGTTGTTGGCAGTAATACGAAACAGAAACGGTTACAAAACAGAGTGACATGACTTTCCAAAGCAGTGACACTCGGGTGTCGAGCCGCGCTGGAATTAAATAAATATTTATATATATATATATATGAGTGTGTGTGTGTCGTGCTTGGAGGTGTTTTGTTTATTTACGGTTTGTTTGTTTGTTTGTTTATTTTTAGGAGACAAAACCATCCAGCCAAGACGGAGGGGATAAAAAAGACGGAGAGTACATCAAATTAAAAGTGATTGGTCAGGTGTGTATATGTTAGATGATATTAATGATGCTTTCTTACATATTTTTAGTGTTATTTTGTTAAATTTTCTTTTTGTACCAGTGTCATTGTAGAGTTAGCTCCAGGGAAGAGTTGGAGACTGTTAGAGTAAAGGCTGTCACTTTACACTGTCTTATCAGACATAACCAGTTTGTTTTGTTATCAAAAACATTGACCAAACATTTGCATATTTGCATTTGTAGGATTCTTGGGGTGTATATTTATACTTTAATAGTAAATAAAGTGTACATAAACTGAAACTACAGATCCACAACCATAAATCTACTCAGTGGCTCTTTTAACAAAAATATAATATTTGGCTTTTTGCTGCAATATCTCAAAGGTGGTGGTCCTTTAAGTTGGTTCCTTTACTACGAAGCAAGTTTGACACGCATGACTTTCTGTTTTATTCACTTACACTTAGAGCCTGACTGATTTATCAGCAAATTGAGGTTATCGGCTATTATTGGCTATTTATTGTCTTTTGGCATTGGCGTGTTTAACGAGTGACTTACATTAATATTAGTGTTTATTCTGAATAGTAAACCGCTTCCACCTAACGTTAGGTAGTTAATCTGTGGTTTTGACCATATCAGTAATTAATTATGTATATAGTCAAACAGTTTAACATTGAGCACGTATAGATGAGCTTGTTTATATGAACTAGGGCTGCCACGATTAGTCGACTAGTTACGATTACGTCGACTATCAAAATCGTTGACGACTAATTTAATAGTCGACGCGTTGTTTGAAGCTTTGTAAGATCCCAAAAGACGCAGGAATGAGTAGTAGAATTTAAGAGTGTAATAAGGGACTGAAACAGAAGATGACAGCACAGCATGTACAAGGATGCCAGCTGCCGTTAAACCCCGAAGAAGAAGAAGCTGTGTCCAAATTCAGGAACCGCATCCTCCTGTGGCTGCATTTGTAAGCCGATTACGTTACAGCGACACAAATTCGAAGACTCCGACATATGCGGCCGATAAATGCGCCCTGCTTTTCCTCAGATTTGAAGGATGGGTCGCTTCGTGGCCCAGCCTATCCCAGAATTCATAGCGCGGCCCTGCTCAGTTTCCAAAAATGGCGGCAGCTAGTTAGTTTTAATATTACTCTTATTATTCTTTCTGGGTCACAAAATAAACGTTTAACATATTTTCAGGCGAGAATGTAACTGTGTAA